ATTTTTTGTAGTAGATGATAAATCTTAGGGGATTGTTAGGATCATTGAGTGATATGTAACAGTGAATTATGTTTTAATTGCTTTTTTTATCCTGCTTATAATTAAGGTACATTTGGTTATAATAGAATAAGTTAATGGTGTTTTTATTTTTTTGCATCAAGAAGGGGTTTGGAGTCATTTCTTTTTTGTAAATTTCATTCGGGTTAATTTTATTTGTTCATCGATGATGTGCTTAGGGAAATTGTTGATTAGGGTTTGTTTAATGTTGCTAAGTTCCTTATAGAATAATATGTCTGAAGAAAAGATTAGTTTAGCTTGGTAAATCCTGGTTTTTGTCACAGATATTTTGTATCTGCCTCTTACAACATTTCACCATTCCTGACAGATCTTCTAATATTACAGTGTGTGATACCTATTTACAAAAGTGATGGAAAGAAAAATAAATGACTCTAAATGAATTCAGATAGATTAAAAAATTCTAAAATTCCCAGAATCCCTGTTATGTGCATGTGTAGTTCTACCAACATAACAAATTCAGTAAGATAAAGTCCTGAAGGAGAAAATTTGTCACAAGTAAACTTTTTCCACTTTGTTTTACAATTTCCCCAATACTGTTCTCAATATATATCGTTATTTCATAGACAAAATATATATGTGTGTATATATATATATATATATATATATATATATATATATATATATAGGTAGTAGATCCGAAGGTATGTAATCCAGGAGGTGGATCCTAGTAATATCAGATATTAAAACTGATCCACAGAGAGCTCAATGTATTTATTATAACAGAGCATATATTTTCTACAGCAAAACATCCAAGATTACCTTATGTAGGAATAGTCTATTTCAAACTAGCACTGCTATGTGCCAGCTATCCTCAGTCCAAGACTGTCTGGAAATGGTTTTCTTTGAATTTGGTTTAGATAGCGTTGGTGAAAACGTATAGACCACTTAAGGGGACACCTCAGTTTAGAAAAGGAGTCTGGGTTGATGACCAGGAATCTAAATTCATTCACATATAACTAAAGTCTTGGCCATAAATAAACCCCCAACACCGGCCCATCTCCTGGTCATCAACCCAGAGTCCTTACCAAAACTGAGGCGTCACCTTAAGTGGCCTATACAAAGCTATCTAAACCAAATTCAAAAAACACCATTTCCAGACAGTCTTAGGCTGAGGATAGCTGGCATATAGCAGTTCTAGTTTGAAATAGACTATTCCCCACATGACGTAATCTTGAATTTTTTGCTATATATGTGTGTGTGTGTGTGTGTGTGTGTGTAATAAATTATATATATTATTATTATTTATATATTATAGGCACGGTACTTATTAGAAAGCGCTCAATATCAGAGAGAGCTAACATATTTGGTTGGATTGATGTGAGTTTGTGACCCTGGGTTTCACGCTTTTGTGATCATCAGACAAATCTGATGACTGCAAAAATGTGAAACCCAGGGTCACAAACTCACATCAATCCAACCAAATATATATTTGATTTGATAATTAGCATGGATAATTCCAAAGAGGATATAAATCCAAAGAGAGCTCAATGTAAGAACAGAGCAAATACAGTAATAATGAAAGTGGAGACTTTAGAAATCTACTGGCAATAATTTAAGGATTTTAAATATATCCAGACACAAGTGAAAAAAAAAGGGGGAGGGTTAGAAGATAGAGAGAAAAAGTTTTTTCAAAAATAAAAGGGGGGAAGATATAGATTTTAAAATAAGGTTTTATTATGGGGGAAGCGAATGAGAGATATATGTATATATATATATATATATATATAGAGAGAGAGACCTGGAAGTTGAGGAAGATTAAGATAGGGCAAGAAAGTGGCTAAAAAGTTGCCAACAGGTTGACCTTGAATGTTCTTTCACCAGATGTGACAAGTAAAAGAGAGTGAATATATTAAAAAAGGATAAATTTAAAATCCTTTTATTGTTGTAAAATTGTTTGGTCTGAAGAAATGGGGTCTGATCCTGTGAAATAAATTATTACCAATGGATTTCTAAAGTCTCTGCTTTCATCATTATATATTTTAAAAATATTTTATAGCAACACAGAAATTTCTGTTTTGGAACTGAAGGTTAAAATTTATTGTTCCATTTTTAAGCGATTTTGAATAACTTCAGAAAAAAATGATTTACTTTTGCAAGCAAAGTAATGTTATGTTGAAAAGTTTAAGTGGGAGGAGGAATGAGATTTCAAAATTTCATTTTGGGTGTTGTGGTTTTTTGGCAAATCTAAATACAGATCAAAGCTAAAGTGGAAAAGTAAAAAAAAAGTATGTTAGATGTTAGGTGTGGGTATGTAATTCATGATCGTCTAGAATTGTCTTTAATGTATTAGACCCGTCATTCTCACTTGCTTTTAAGAACATATACATAAAATACACTGAAATAGAGAGGTGTATGTATTGAACAATGTGGTTAATATTTTTTTTTTATATATTTTAGGATTGTCTTAAAGTATGATTAAATTATTTTTTATATATTTAATTATATAATGATCTAAAATGCAATACTAATTATATTCAATATTATGCTCTACTTTGCATTGAGCACTTTATAAAAAGTAAATGCTAAAGAACTGTGGATTGTTAATCTGACTGTTCTTTCTCTTTATTTGGAGATTATATATATATATATATATATATATGTATATGGTGGATTCTCCAAATATGCACTTCGTTTTATACTTATACTTGCTAGCAGAGGCTATTGTGGAGAAAATCAGGTAAGAGAAAGACATATTTCATTTGTACTCTCTTAAGTGTGATACTAGCCCAGCCTTGCTGCAGGTGACAAAGCCACACTGACAGATGAAATTTGTTAAAGCAGGATTTTCATGGCTTCTCTGCTTCAGAGCTTGACAAAGCTGATCATGGTGCTTCAGTCTACTGTTTTCAAAACCTTTTAACTTAATGAAATATGTTGTATGCCACTCCTTTCAGTTTGATGCTTGGGCCTGCCAGGTTTTCAGATCAAATCTGAGACATTTCAAGTGTGTGTATAGAGACAGAGATATGTGTATTTAGAGTGTATAATAATATCAGAAACAAAATTGAAGATGAAGAGACATTTTGGAAAATTTATTAACAATGTGTTTCACCAAGAGCACCTGCTTGCTTTACCTTTCTCAGGTTAGAATTAAAGAAAAAACTATGTTGAGAAAAATGCCTTGAGACTTTTTAGCACAAGTGGGGCTATAAATCAAATTGGATTAGATTAGATTATCACCTCCAATGTTCAAACTCAAGGGAGTGTCTGTCATTTTTGTACGTCAATAAACTTATCGGCTGTTTTTTTTAAACTCAGCTCGTCAACTTTCCTTGTTGTGTGCCCTTATAAATTAAATGTTGCCTATTTTTTCATAAGTTTTTTTTTTAATAAATAAAAAATTCTTTACATAAGATGTTATTGTTAAATACAGTATGTGATTGAAAACGTGTGGATGTTAAAATTAAAAAAAATCTATAAAGAAATCAATGCCAGCATAAAGTTATTGGCTTAAGACAGAATTATTCTGAAATGGAATGTAAGGAAAATTATTGAAGAGTTGTTTATAGTCTACAATGTGTTATGATGGTATGCGTAAGAAAGGCCTATGACAGTGTCAAAAAGATTATATGCCTTGGTTGGAGGCCCTAGATTTCAGCCTGCTAAGCCTATGGGTAACTGTCACTGGCTAACTATCAGGCATTCTGTCTTCTTAGAAGTGATGTTTAGTCCTTTCTTCTTCATTTTCAAATATTCAGAAATCTAACAGTAATAATTAAACTGTACTTAATGCAGACCAGTAAAAGCTTCCTACCCCAAGAAGGACTGAACATTTTTAATATGTCTAACCAGCTTTCTAACTACAGCTTAATATATAAATGAAAGAATTGAAGAGTAGAAGAAAAAAAAAATTCTATTTTTGTCATTTGTTCTGCCAATAATGCTCCTTATGTGTACTTTGTAAAAAGAATAGCACAAGACAATTTTCAACTTAATATTTATAGTGGAACAGATTTTCCATTTCAAATTTTCATTAATTTTGTTTCAGGTTTTAGGGAATTACGTTTTTCCCTCTCATTTCGGTATAGTCAGCCATCAGCATGCCTGCAGCCAACATGGACAGCCCGCTTCATAAATCTTTGTTCACGAAGCCAGGCCAAGAGAGGGGGATGTAAATGTTATTAAAACAAGAAAATAAAAGGAAAACGAAACATTTTACTTGCTGGAATATCCACCCATTGGATAAGTTGCTTCAGGCTGATAGGGTTTCCTGTCGTACTTCTGCCATTTAATCTAACTTGATGCATTTCTGGGACAACCCAACCCATGCAAAGAATACTACAATCCTAAATAAGAATTAAGTGGCAAAACCTACAGAAAAGTAGCACCACAAAGTCATCAAGAGACAAAAAGCCATATTATTGTTTATTCACTTTATTGAAATCATTAAATAACATTTTTGAAAAAAAAAAAAAAAAAGTCTAATTTATAAAATTTAGCTTTCTGAAATGACAAACTGCCCCATCCTCCCCTTCATGTGTGATAGATAAAAGAAAGGATAAAACAAAAAGACAACATTTTTGTCAGACCGCCCCCCACCCCCCACGTTTTATTTTTTTTTTTTTATTAAATAAAGCCAACTTTGTAAAACTTGGTTCCTAAATACTGTAAACTGTAGGGAGACAGTAGGTGGGGGTGGGTATGAAAACATTACAGACTTTATCCTTTAAGGTCTGTCGGACGAGTGAGTTAGGAAAGGTAAACATGGTAACAAATTAAAAAGGCAGCTGACAAATCTAATTGTTAGAAACGAAAATTTCCATTTCAAAATCGCGATTTCCATTTGAAGTAGGTCATTACATTTTTCTGTTTTCACAGAAAATAAGCCCCTCTATATTTGTTCCTGTAAAAAAATGTTTCCTTGTATAATGCATGCCTAAATATAATGTGAAAGATCATATGTGCATAAGAATGTCACGTACCATTCCAGTTTTCATATTTATGGAAATGATCAGTAGGAATCTGTAAAAAAAAAGTCTTGTGTTAGTAAGAGTAAAAACACCAATAACATTGCAGATTCTTCTTTGGATTTTTTCAAGAATCTCCAAATACATAGCAGAAGCACCAGACCAGATGCGGCAGCAACATTTAAAGCGTGGATGAATGGTAAGACTTATATTTTATCTTTAATTGTTTCACCCCAAACTATGCAATACTGTCACTATAATGCAAGGGTTTACAGGAAGTGAAAGAGAATGAGAAGACTTTAGTGAGGAGAAGTGAAGAAAAGGACAATAAAAGAACAGATTTCTGGAAGACAGAATATGATAACTGACATTGCATTTAAATTTTTGAAGATTGTAGGTGGCAAGAAAGCAAAAAATCAAAAGAGAGTTTCACAAGCAAGAAAAGAAACTGTTAGAAGGATTAGTTGCATCTAGTGAGTTCAACAGTAAAATGATAAGAACTAGTTACCAATCTAGTAGCTTGCTTCCATTCACACTGTTGGGGCACTAAGAAAAAAAAAAACTAATCAGAACAGTCATAAAAATATTTGTAGAAGAGAAATGCAGGGAATCCACATCATGTTGGTAAGAATGTGATTGCAGTCAAAATGCCAGATCAGGATTGATAACATTGCAGATTCTTTTGTCAAGAATCTTGAGATATACAACATAAACACCAGATATGGCAACAGTATTGTTGTAATATACTTATAATTCTTTGTATTCATTCACTTAATTATTTAATACCTTCTACTTGTATGCATACGAACTGTTGTGTGATTTCGCGTTGGTTCACGTCACATGATTTTGTGTTTATAAATAATGGTGGGACGCCTCTATCTTTCTCTCTCTGGTGTCCGTTCGTTCATATCTTCTATGTAACTGGTAACAGTGTATGCTTTTTATGTTGAATAAAACCTTAATATTCAACTTTCTAAAAAGGTCTCTTTTCATCACAAGTATTCAATGCAAAGATGAATGGCAGATTTATAAGTGTGCAAGATGGATTCTAACAAGAGAAATTGTCTGGCACAGTGAACCAACTCTCCTAGCAGTTGACTGAGCAATTGGTTCAATATAGTTATTCCACTTCAAAACAGTAGTTAATATGAGTCCAAGAAAAGACAAAGTTCTGCTCTCTTGCAGTTTAGCATCAGCCATGCTGATGGTAGACAAAAAAGGTTTTCTATGGTGATTAAAAAAAAGCAGTTTTGTTTTGGAGGTGTTAAAATTCACAAGACATTTCTTGCTTCAGTTAAATACTAATTGGAGGTCCTTTTAAGAGCAGATGCCACATTTACTTTGTCAGGTCTGTCAGACTTGCTATTAGACAGTAAATAATTGTTATCTGCATAAATATCTAGTTGGGAACTGATGACATCGGAAAGGTTGTTGATGAATATCAAAAACAGCATAGCCCTTGTGCTCGTGGAGAAAGCCGGTATGCCAAATCATTTTGAATGCATTTGAGATATCTACAGTTGCAGCCTTTGCTGTTCTTATTTAAAGCTTATTGACACATTCAGTAATGGCCTTTAACACATCGACAATAGACTGGGCAAAACAGAAGCCATATTGTTTATCCAAAAGGAGGACATGTAAAGAAATATGCTTAACCAATTCAATGTTGATTAGAGCCTCAAGTACTTTACCAAGAGCAATAATTTGTGGGGTCAGATGGTTCCCCTGTGTTCTTAAAAATAGGAACTACAGAAGAGGGTTTCCAACAAGCTGGAAAGTAAGAAGCAGTGATGCATTTATTGTGAAGTTTGGATAGAACAGGAACCAGTTCTGGAGCTGATTTCATTAGGACAACTGCATGGATACCATTGAATCCATGTGCCTTGTAGGGTGATCTAGTTTAGGAATGATAGCAGAAATCAAAAATGGAATTAAATGCATATCACTCTCAGTAGAAACTCCATTCTGGTGGTGGGGGAATCAGGCAGACAATTCAAGAGTGGAGTTGCAAGAGAATTTCACAGCATAGCACCCTGATTTATTTGCAGTAGATGACAACACTTCAAATTGATTGAAAAGAAGAAGTGAGGATTTGCTTTTGTTCAGCACGCCAAAGTGATTATGCTCTAAAGATGCTGAGAAAATAGTTAGCTTCTTTTACCATTCTGAAAAGTTACCCGACTACCCCTATCATGCTCTATCTTTACAAATTCATTTGAAAGCTTTTTTTATGTAAATGGCTATCTATATAATACAAAAAATCTAATCTTGTATGTGCATTTCTGAGATATGGCTTAAATGATACATAATACCCCAACCACTTCAGAAGTATATATTGTAACTTGAATCCCTGCCAAGTGCAGTGCCAAATTTCATTAACATTTAGCACTCTGCATCATTTATAAATATTACTTCCTCTTTTACTGTATATGGAATCTCCTCAAAATATAGTGTCCTATATATTTGAAATTGCAATAGAAGGATATGACTACACAACCAAGAAATTCAAATTCAACTTACATGGGCAGGACTAACATTTTGCTTGGCAAAAATAGTCACTTTACAGAATGTTAAAAGTAAAAATTAAACAAGGGGTTTCTTTAGCTAGGTCCGTTTTTCTGTTTTTACAGCATTTTTAGTAGCCAATTCAAAATTTGTTTTTGATATTAATCTGCATATATAAACAAACATTTGTATATTATATTCCAACTATTATGTGTGAAAAATAATAAACTATCATAACAACATTATTAAATAAATTTAAATATGCATCACATTTATACAATTCACTACATCAAAATTTTTTATTCTAAACTAGTTGAAAGGTGAAGAGGCTACATGTCACATGATTTAATGGTAAGTAAATAAATACATGCCCACTTATTTGTTGCCGTTACATATTTTTGAAATAACTCTAAGAAAGAAACAAGTATATATAATAAAAAAATATACTTATTATTTTGGAAAAGACTACACTTGTTTTAAGCTATTAATCCAAATTTTTACAGTGTATTAACTATGAAGACCAGTGGAACAATAAAATCAGTCGTGGGCAACCTTTTCCGACTAGTGGGTCACATCAGATATGGCTCATCATGAGGAAGGCCACACTACTAAAAAGAATTAAAAAAAAAATAAAAACATTTTTCTTCTCTAGACAAAAAAAGATTTAGGAATGTCCTGTTTCTAAAACAAATGACATTTACACGTATGGTTTTCCTTAGTGAAAAATCGCTAATCGTTTAAAATGATGAAAACGTTACCTTCAATGAAAAGTTACAAAATTCAAGAAATGTTGTGCTTAACGTGGTTATGCATGAGAAAATGTGAGTGAACAAGTGAGGAGAAAATGAAACAAACAAAATTTTAATAAACCCTATTTTCCTCATGAAATTCAGTGTGCCTTTCAGAAAGCAAAATGGGCCATATGTGGCCCACGGGCTCCACTCTGCCCATGTCTGCAATAAAACTTCTTTTTCTATGTTTAAGTACAAATTAAAATGTGTAATTAATAATTGAATTGATAATATCGTTACCTCACTATTTTGTGTCATGAACAGCTTATAAAAGAAACCCAACAGATTTATGAGTTTTCTAGTAATATTCCTAAATACAAATGTTATGTAACTTTTTACTTTCTGGTTTTCTAATTTTTTTTTTTCTGTATTCAATATCTTTTAAGAATATTTTGTAAAGGCACTTTATTTAATGTTCCTTTGTGGGAAAATGATATATAAATTTTTATATATCAAAAACAATTTTAGGAAAATTTATAACAAAATGGGAATAATTTTTTGTGATGCATTTCATCCTTTAGAATTTCACTGGACTAAGGTGATGTTTACATTGATATGATTACACATGCGCACGAAGGTGAGGAGGACATTGAAATTTCATATTTAAAAGATCAGCATCTCCTCTCCTTTATGCACACATGTCATCGCAAAATCTTTTCCATTACTGTTAATTTGTAAATTTCAATGCCACTCCTCTTGCTATGCTTGATCTTTACAAGAGTCAGATCAGACCAAAAATGGAGCAATGTTGCTATAGCTTGATGGAGCCACACAATCCTTTTTCTGAGCCTTAACAGAGTTCAAAGTTGTTATGCCACCTTCTAAAGATTGACATTTCCCACTTTACAGCACTTTCCCTCCATGCAAAACACCACAAACCTATTTCTTCTTTCATGTTCAGATGAGATCCATTCCTTAGTGCTACCAGCTCAGACATTTACAAAGACACACTTTGCTTCATCCACAGTGTTGAATCACCTTCATTTCCTATATATTCCACTAACAAGAAATATATTCCACTCAGACAGCTTCTTCCCAAGAACCATTGCTTTGTGAAACAGACTCCATCATAAATGACTCAATCTCTTAAAGTCTAGAGATTCAATTGTTATCCATATTCATGCCAACCTCCTCTCCCATTCAGTAGTCCGCTACCAGTGGCTCTTGGCTTTGTATTGGGTGGATATTAGTAAAAGTGAAGGTAAATAAATTAAAATAAAATGTCCTTGAAACTTAATTCCCACATGTAGACTCGCATGCGTATTTCTCTCAAACTGTCTTCAGGTTGCTTTTTTTTTTTTTTTTGACCAACGTGGTTCGTATAGATTAAAAAAAAAATTGTTCGTTAAAAAAAAAAAAAAAAATAGTGTTGATAAATGCAATAGAATTTTTCACTTTGCAAAAAAAAAAAAAAAAAAAAAAACCTTTGGGTGGTCTGTAAACTACACAAAACGAAAATCACTTTTTTAGTTTTAATTTTATTTTTAAATTCAAGTTTGAATCAAAGTTAAAAAAAAAACAAAAAAAAAACGATAAGAACGGTTAAAAAGTCTGGAAAATAAGGACATCTATTTTTTTTTATAGATTATAAACAAACCTTACATTGAACTTGAAGTGATTTGCAATTAATTTTTTTGTAGCGGTCAGTAAAAAACCTGGGTATGAGTTTGACTACAGTTTTTTTTATTACTCAGCTGAGCATAATTTAGAAAAGCAATAGCGAATCGTCCGCTAAGTAACTTTTACTTATTGAATTAAAATTAAAAAAAGGTTCAAATAAAATTATTCATTATTAAATTTGTATCCTACTTTCTACACAAATCCTTGGGGTACTTTGTTTACTTAAAGAAAGTTTCCGAACTTCAAGCGTAAAAAACAACTGTTGTACCGAAAATTTCCTGGACCAACAATTTCTACATTTATAAATTAATTTGTCATAGAGACAAAAAAAAAAAAAACAAACTTATTAAAAATGATGATTTACTACATAATCTCTTCTCTTTTTACAGGTTGTAAGTGAAAAAAACTTGTCAATTTTTCCGAAGACCTGCTCCCCAACAAATTTCATAAATTATTTAATTTTACATATTTTTTTCTTTAATCGATTTTTTTTTTATAGAAAATTTAATTCAAATTATTTCGTTTACAAAAAGTAAGCAGGCTACAGAAGTAAAACTTTTTTTTTCCTCAAGCGTGTCCGGTAAACGGAAACCGTAACGGTAGTCTAGTTGGAGGAAAAAAAAAAAAAAAAAAGAAGACGTTCAACCTCTTAGGGGATTTTTTTTTTAATCATTCTGTATGGTCCGATGGCTATACAAATTATATGAGTATGGGAAAAAAATTCTCAAATCAAATACCATATTTTAAATGAATAAAATAAAATAAATAATTCCCAATAGCACTTATATTTTATTTTAATTACGTTTACCAGGGTGTACTCATTTAATTGGACATAAAGACTTTTTTTCCGTTATGGAGAAATAAAAGTACAATGTGCTTGTCTCTACTTAACCAGGCGAGTTGTAAATATTACTACATTTTTTTTATTTATTTTTACGAACAAGTTATTTTTGTCCAAACGAAAGAACAAAGTTTGACATGCGAAAAAATAATACATACTGTGAATAAATAAAAGTAATACATTCAAAAAGCAATCATTCTTCGGAAACTATTTTTTTACTAATATTACGAATGTAAATAAAAATGTTTTGTTTTTTTAAATACTTACAGCAAAACAGACATGGCTTGAAATTATTAACAGAACTGGAACAAATATAAAATGACGTGTTATAAAACCAGGCATCCTTTTCTTTCTTAATGCAAATTTTCCGGGTATGTTCCGTCGGCAACCGATAACTAAATAAACCATATGTTGCTATTTGGAAAAAAAAAAAAAAAAGTCATACACCACCCAATCCTTGAACGACGGAAAATAGAAACCTGATTCACATGATAAACATTAAGTAAAAGATTATTGCTAAAAAAATGTCACATGGCTTCAACTCTAACCCAATTGAAAGATATTCCATCTCGAGATTCAACCAAAATGCAGTACCATGTAAATAAATTGAAAGAAAGATTGTATATTGTAACAATATACAATATTATTGTTGAGCCAAACTTCCAACTAAGAAAAAAAAGTTTTTCTTGGAATTTGAAAGTTTAAAAAAAAAAGTAAATGAAATAAAAAGAAAAAAAAACTTTTCTTAACAAGACCGTATTTTCTTTTTGAATAAGCTTTCTTTTTTTGTTTTTTGTTAACTTGACCATCGGAAAAGAGAGAAAGAAAAAAAAAATGACCGTTCACTCTGCAGTGGTGTGTAGTAGTTTAAAGAAAGTTTTTTTTTTAATAGAGAAGAATCCTTGACAGTAGCGGGAAACCCATTGTTTTTTTTGTTTTTTTTTGTTGTCCAATTCACTCATGTTGACCGTCCCTTGACCCCCTTATATTTTCTGTGTAAGTTGTTTCTTTCCAAAAAATAAAAAAAATGTAAAGCCATTTTTTAATCCAGCTCTTAAAGCCCTCCCAATGTACACAATTTTTTAATTGTTTTTTATAACCCAAAAAATACAGTTTCTTTTGTGGTTCATTTAACCTTTTCTTTTATGAAACTTTTTTTCATTTAAAAATCCTTTTCATCACCTGTTGAAAATTTAGTTATTTTTAAATTTTATTTTTAATTTATTTATTTTTACTTTTAACTTGCATAGATGCCCCTCTAGAAGCACAAAAATAAGAGGACACATATCTGTCAGTAAATTTATTTATTTATTCATTTAAAAAATATTTTATTTTTTTACTTTTAGTTTTTTACACATGCTGACTGCATCATACATTTGAATGAACATTTAAGTTCAAGAAAGAAAACTGGCCCTCGTTTTTCTTTCACGTTAAAAAACTGAAAGTGTATACCAGTTTGTAAAGGTACCATAATTTGACCAGCTGAATTTTTAATTAAAAAAAATGATTATACTGTATAATCATTTTTTTTTGTAATGTATAATGTATTTTGCTCAAAATTAGACTTTTTCCATTTTTATTTTATTTTCATTTCAATCTGTTGGATTACTATCAACATTATTTTTATTGGATACCCATGTTTAAAAAAAAGACAGGGCGTCTACTTAAACATGGGTATTCACTAAAAATAACGTTTTAGTAATCATAATGAGGGTGCGACAGAAATACTTCCCACATAATGGTAAAATGATATTCATTGCAGTGTAACCCGGATATAAGAGAGTTGTCGGGACCGGAGAAGTCTCTTATATCCGGGTTTCTCTTATATCCGGGTTTGGTCTATTTTGTTTAGGTAAGTTAAGTATGGGCTCTAATTTGGGACCAGAGAAAATCTCTCTTATATCCGGGTTTCTCTTATATTCGGGTCTCTTATATCCGGGTTACACTGTATTAGCAAAATGAAGACTAAGAAGACACCCTTGCCATTTAATTTAAATATCCTCCCATTATGTTGGAGGTATATGTGCGAGGTATTTTCTGCCGCACCACCATTATCATCATCATCATCATCATCATTATTGTTATTGATATTGTTCTTGTTGTAGTAGTAGTAGTAGTAGTAAATGTTAGTGGATAACCATGTTTAAGTAGACGCCCTGACTTTTTAAAAATTTGGATATCCACTACTAAAAAATAATGTTTTTAGTACTAAGACATAATGTCGGATTAAAAATAAAATCCGTTTAATAAAATTCCTTATTGTTACATTGTGTATGTGACGGGGGGTAAGAGAGTAAAAAAATGAAGACCTGTGAATAATGTTTAACTTTTTAATTGTCGCCAATGTTTCGTTCATTTAGAGAACATCGACAGAACAACTGAGAAAAATTCGCGTTTCTATATAGGGAGGTTGCCATATTAAGGATTTTTTCCCCTTATTTTTTTCTTTTTCATTTGCTCTGATGATGCTCAAAAAAAAAAGAAACGACACATAGTAAAAAAAAAATAAGTATGCAACTGGTTTTAGTTTATTTTGATGGACAATTGAACTGTATATTAAAATAATGGCGATATTAAAATTAAAAATCAATTAAGTTAACGTATGTTTGCAGACATTAATGCCCATTTTCGGAGTAACTGATTTTTTTTTTAACAATTTTCTTCGTCTTTTTTTGTATTTAAATATTTTAATTTCAGGGTATTTATTCATCTAACTGCTTATTTTTAAAACTTTTCAATTTTAAGAATTTAAAAGAATAAAATATATTTTATTTCTTGGTTGAACAAATGGACTTAAGTAAATATTTTTTTTATAGTTTTACTTACGTCTTTGTGTGGGTGTCATGTGATGGTCAAAGGGCGGATAAAGTAAATAGCCTCATAAAGCGAGTCCTTTCGTGTGCGTGTACGGGAGATAGAGGAGGGAACGGGTTTTCTTTTTATGACATTTTAAAGTCGTCATGTTCTTCTGTTGCTTCCTACGTTCTAGATATCTCCACTTTTTCGCTGAAAAAAAAAGCGTAATATGGTGAAAAAAGGCCCAAATTTAATAAAAACAAAGTTTTATCGTCAAAATTAGAAAAGACCAAAATATTTTTATTATCATTCTATTAAATTTTTTTAATTCTTTCTAGCACGGTCGAAATTTTTTTTTTTTTTGCGTTAGCGGTCGACGTAATATTTACGAATAGTGTTTTAGCGCCTTTTTTTTCAGGTGAAAAACATTGATTTGTAAATTCTTGTAAAAATTAAATAATTGTCGGATTTTAATGAAACTTTCATGACTTATTAACAAATGAATAAAATTATTTTTGAATTTTTTTTTAGAAAATCTTGGTTAAAAATATTTTTTACACCCACTTAATTTCATGAAATTTCGAGAAAATCCAAAAAAAAACTTTGACACCCAGAAGGATGCAGATCAGTGATCTCCATCCTTCTGGATGTCAAGGTTTTGGGGCGTTTTTTAATAGACTGATTGTATATTATATGTTTCCAGTGTCCTTAATTGCAATTGTTATATTAAGCATAAGGTAGCGAGAGAAAGGAATAACAAGGATTAGAGTGAAACAACGTTTATCGTTGGTAGAGAGTATAGGAATAGTGATCGTGTGTACGCGTAGTATCGGGAGCTGAACCATTTCTTGTGACGGCATGGACGAAGTCACAAGATGCGGTTGGCGCACGTTTGGTTGAGATGTGTAGTCATGTTGAATGGTGGCAGTGAAGGCGGCGACGGTGGCGGTAGTAGTGCTATGCGTGGTAGTCGGTCCGCAACTCTGTCGTCATGGTGACTAGGTCATGGTAGCGTTAGCAGCAAAAGCAGCGCCTACGTGACGGCCGGCGGCCGAGCCGGGCCATGACTATTTGGTCATCCTCAGAGCCTGGTTTTAAGCAGGCCTGGTAGTCCCAAGGGGCATTTATTTACCGGCGGGAACGTTCGCGACTGATCACCGCCGGAGTTCACTTTGTAGAGCGGACGTGGTGCGTGGAGCCCACTGCGCAGAAAACGACTTTTGTTATTTTCGGCCTCTGCCTTCGTGGCGGTCACATCCGGCCAGTGTGCAGAATGAATCAGAATGAGATCTAATTGCGATGCAGTTTAACTAAATTGTTGCACAAATTAATTAATTTGAAAAGGTTAAGAACTCAAAATTTACATTTTTTAATCGGTATTAACTTATGCAAGGCAGTAAAGCCACTAAGACACAAGGGGGTTACAGGATGTGGAAGAATCAGGAATAGAAACATTAATGAGCGGGAAGAGGAAATACTAATCAGGAAAACAGTATATAGCAACTGACATTGCATTTAAATATTTGCAGATTAAAGTTGGCTGGAAAGCATGGAACTGGAAGGGAGTTCCACTGGCTGTGAATTGCCATGACTTCTCGGAAAAGATAGTGAAATGGATTCCTATTGTCTTCTTGAAACTACTGAGGCGTTGTTCACATCGCATCTTCCTGAATTTATGTGGTCGTCAGCAGTACAATAACAGTCCCATGTTTTCATCATTTTTATTTGCTGTGTAGTCCACTATTACTTGTCGTAATAATGCTTAATTATAATAAACTTTTTTTTTAATTGGTATCATTCAAGAGACAAGGGGTTACAGGATATGAAAGGAACAGAAACATTAATAATAAGCGGGAAGAATAATCACGAGGACAGTAGATAGCGATTGATATTGCATTAAAAGTTTTCCAAATTAAAGTTGGCTGGAAAGCATGGAGCCGGAAGGGAGTTCCACAAACGAGAAGTGCGAGAAAAGAAACTGTTAGCATAGAACATACGGCGACATCTAGCCAGCTCAACTGTAAATTGGTGAAATCTTGACGCCAGTCTAGTACTGCGCTTAAATTCAAAAACGTCTCGGTACCATAGCAAAGAGCTCATCCGAACAATTACATTATTTATAGAAAAGACACAGAGAGTCAACCTTACGGTGGTAGGCAAGTGATTGAAGCCGAGCCGCCAGATCAGGACCAATAATATTACTGATTCTTCTTTGGATTTTATCAAGGAGCTCAAGGTAAATAGGGGCGCCGGACCATATGTCAAATTTTAAATGGTTTTTCAGATATTTTCGTGTAATTTTAATAAATATATCTGTTAAATGGTTTTTCAGATATTTTCGTCTAAACATGGACGAATGGTAGACTTATAGATATGTAAGATAAATTCTGGAGAGAAAAATTGTCTCACACGACACAGTGAACGGACTTTCTTAGCAGCGGACCTAGCAATGGATTCAAAATAGTCATTCCACTTCATGTCTGCTGAGAACGTTAACCGGAGAAGGCACAACTAGTCCCTTCCCGGCGATGATTTTCCATTTATAAAGCCGAATATGAACACTGATAAATGAAAATACTTCTTATTTTTTTATTTTTTTTATTTTTTTTAATGAAGTATGACAACGCTCAAATTTGTCCAAAAATTAAGCTTATTTTTTAGCAAGAAGCAAAGTTCAGATATTTTAGGTACCGTCACGGACCTCTTAAAAAAACGATAAACACATTCTTTAAAAGCATTTAAATTATATTTTCTTTGACAGTAAATTTTGGTTTTTTATTTCAAAGATAATAGCCTAAAGCTAATATGAATGATTAAAAGAAAAAATAATTTCCATGTGAAAATAAAGTTTTCTCAGGCATTTTAAAATCATTAGCATGTTCACGCATCTCATCGACTCATTGAACGGCCATTATAGATGAAACATGTAAACAGCAATTTCAAAAAAATCTCTTAAAAGTCCAATAATTGTCCTAGAGATGTGTTTCAAAGTTAGTAAATGTTTAACTTGGTTTTGTAAACGTAATGCTTACTCTCTGCTAACAACATAATGGAAATAACGTTTATTTACATACAGTAATCTATTATGTCATAGGTCACAACTCT